TAAAATCGTATTAGGTTCGGTACAGTGTCTTGGAGAGTTCGGTTCGGTTCATTCGGTTCGGTACAAAACAATAAGAACTTACATAATCTTTATTTAGAAAAGCTGCCAATACACAATAGAATTCTTGCATAAAATAAATAAAAGTGACACATTTGGGTGATATTTTAAATAAATTGCACTCTTTATAAAGAAAAACACATTTTTAAAATAAAAAATTAAATACTGCAACTAGTTAGGACCTGAAAACTTTTAACACTAGCAACAGCTTCAGCTTATATATCAACAAAACTAACTATTCAAGTTTTAGGCTAAAAAGATTAACCTATCCACATTTTCTGAAGAGAGCACAGATCTGGTTGCCGTGACAATATCTCCAGCAGTAGAAAATGTTAGATGTGTTGCCTGCCTGATCTCCGTGGAACAATGTCGGCATACAACTTTAAATGTATCCACTCGTCTATCCCCGTTATGTATTTTAACAGAGAAGCCAAAGTGTTCCCAAACAGGAGACCGTAGTGAGGTGGGAGGGTCTTCAAGCTCTGGCTTCTCTTTCGCTGTTGCCATTTCTCACAGCTACTCGTGCAGCTCTACTGTGCGTCACTCAATAGCGTCCGTGCGGAAACTCGCCTAGGAACAATGTTCCTCTGCGCTTAATATCGCGCTAATAATACATTTATATTCTTTAATAAAAAAATATACCGAAACGTTACGCAAGTGTACCGAACCGAACAGGCCACACCGAAACAGTTCAATACATACCTGTGAACCGTTACACCCCTAGTATATATATATATATATATATATTACAGATGTGGCAGGTCACAGCTTTGTATGCCACGGCTGCCCAGCAGGGGTTTAAGGCATTTACTTTGCACAAGGTCTGATGCAGGAACTGTGAACTGCCACACATTTCACAGGCTCTTGGTCACACAATGTTCACCCTAGTAGTTCTCCCTCATGCAAAGCATCTTAAAGCGATGGAGCCCCCTCTGAGTGCACACTGCTTAGAGAACAGGCCCTTCTTTTCAATCTCTGGTCCACAGCCTAAGGCAAGGAAGGGGTCTCTGAGGACAGGGCCTGTTGTACAGGAAGCACCCCTAAGACAGGGCACTCAGAATAAGCCCCCGCTGTCGCCCTTCAGAGCAGTGCTACCCACAGTAACCACGGCAAAATGAGTGATTCGATTGGTATCGATGTCAATCAATTCTTGAGTTAGATACGCGGGAGTTTGTGGCTCCTTGTACGTTCGTATTTGTTACTTTATGCTTAAGCTGCAACATAGGCCTAATTATTAGCGTAATGTTGCATGTTCAAATGATTATGTTTACATTTTTTAAACCAGAAGTGCTGCATTTACTGATGTTTCAGAACTCTTTGGCTGACAAAAACAGCTTTTTAAGAGTGTCCCATCTATTCCCCTTAGCACTTAGTATTAGCCCCGTTTCAAAATGTTTTCTTCCCGTTCTTTCTATACGCAGAAGCTCATGAAACAGCAGCGATAACATTTCTGTCAAACACTCTTCGGCCCATTTTAGATTAAGTTTTGGAATACATTTTTTTGTGGTTTTAGCCTTAAGTGAGACATCAGGACTAACTGCTGAAATGTCTCATATATCATGGAAGAATTCTAAATGATACACTAATCTGCTTATTCTTATTTATGAAGGTATTCAAATTATGGCATTTCCTAGCAGCACGTACTTTTCGCCCAAAATAAGTTTGGTGAATGAATAAATCTTTTACCCGTTTAATTCTTTGCGTCCATAAAGATGATGTATGGTGCTTGAAATATGGTTGAAATAAATGCCAAATTGAGATGAAGTGCTACCAACTAACTTCTGACTCTGAAATTTGCTTATGGCAGAGGAAAATGAAGCCGTAAAGCGGCCTGGCTGTGAGACTAATGGATGGTCTTCAACACTGCGAGGTCTCTCGCTCTCTGACAGTGGCTCAGTGACCGACATGAATCTGCCTCTGTAACCAGTTACTAATGATCGGATCAATCCCTGTGCGGAGTGACAGATCTGATTCAGTGTGAAAGAATAACAGAAAAGCCTCCAATGCTTTCTGGAACTTTGGAGGCAGGAAACAGACTTTGCCACTAATTAGATTCCCCTGCTCTTGTTTCCTTTTAATTTCAGCTCATTTCCTCTCTCTCTCCATCTCTCATAACATTGCGTAACAATCAAGCTTAACAAAGATTAATCAGTTTCAGTAGAATCCAAGGAGATCAAACACCCCAGACATAATGAATATGTGAATATGTAATAATTATCTAAGATACCACAGGTATTAACTATTTAAAGAGGTTCAAGTACAATAATTGTTTACTCTGATTAATTCCTTGAAACGTTTCTCATATGGAGGCAGGGCTTACCGTATTTTTCGCTGTATAAGACATATAAGACGCACCCAATTTAAAATGAACAGCTCCGACGGCTCCTGAGTGTGATGGGAATTTTCCTATATAATACTACCATCTAGTGGTCATTTAGAGAAATGTAATTTGAGAAACTTTTAAGAGCACACGTCATACTTCATTTCCGCCCTGAGAGGCTCGAGGTTCTTCTTCCAATGCGGATAACACGTGTGTAGGAAATGCGTTGAGACTGCTAAATCTTTACAATAAATAGCCGCATTTACTGTGTTCTCTCTCAAACGGTCTCCAGTGTTTATTATCAACTGAGAAGGTATATTTTTACCATAACAGGAGCTAGACCGAAGCCATGGCCTCTCTTACACCTCTCCTATAGCCGTGACCGCCCTCTGCTCCGCGGCGCTCTGCATTCGCCGTATAAGACGCACCAACTTTTCCCCCTCAGTTTTAGGGAAGAAAAAGTGCAACTTATACGGTGAAAAATACGGTAACTGATTTGGTATGGAATTGATTTTGTGCCAATAAAACAAACGTAATTTCGGCTGAAATGAACAAAAATAAATTGATTACAGAGAAAAATCAGCCTGACAACCAAAGTAATCAAAAAGTTACCATAGAAATCTACATTTGCATTTAAAATAACACTCAATTCTTTGTTGGTTTCATTTTTAGCTTATGTTTCGCATCACACAGTTTTGATTAGACTCTCAGCATCTTCGCTTTCGCTTTCTATTTTTTCGTTTGGGTTCCTTAAAGTTAGTCATTCTGGTACAAACTTTCCTTGGAGGCGGGGATAACGGTGCTTCGCACTCATAGGCTAGTGTGGGTTCAAGTACAATAATTGTTTACTCCGAACAGTTGTATTTTTTTAATATTTAGGACCACAGTTTTAATCACAAGGGACACTTTCTTATTATTGAGGTCAACCACAAGATAGATTAAGGGGAACACTTACAATCTTTTGAACATTTATTTTAATCTGGACATTGAAAGTACAATTTTAAAGTTTTGCGTCCACACTGTGCTTCAGAAACGGATGAAGTCACGTGTCATGTGCTGTCGAATAGAGAGCCAGTCAGGACTGGTCCAATAGTAGGAGAGTGCCAGTCGAAGTCTGTAGCCAGACACTCTTCTCTTTTCGTACTCTAACCTTTATTACAACACATTATTGGTAATTTACACTAGTTTCACTTGATTTAAAACTG